TTTATATATATATATATATATATATATATATATATATATATATATATATATATATATATATATATATATATATGTATGTATATATATATATATATATATATATATATATATATATATGTATGTATATATATATATATGTATGTATATATATATATATATACATACATATATATATATATATATATATATATATATATATATATATATATATATATATATATATATATATATATATATATATATATATATATATATATATATATATATATGTATATATACATATATATATATATATATACATGTATATATATATATATATGTATATATACACATATATATATATATATATATATACACATATATATATATATATATATATATACATATATATATATATATATATATATATATATATATATATATATATATATATATATATATATATATATATATATATATATTGTTACATGCATTTGTATTTATAACATTTATGAAATTAATATTTATTTTTTTTAGAATAGAAAACAATCAAAGGGATTTAAGTGTGGTTATTTTATAATGAAACACATGTTAAACATTGTCTTCGCCAACATTTTTTATAAATGGGATCAGGTATATATTATATATGTAATGAATTGTTTACAATGCGCTTATGAATCCTCAATAATGAGCTTAATCTGATATTTTTATAAATACTTTTAACGATGAAACACCATTCTCATGCGAAGACAATGTAAACATTCGTAAACGTTGGGCGTATATGTTCAATGTGCTTAATGATTTTATATATATAGCAAATCCCACAGGAGTTTGCTATAATACACCCACTTATTTTTATGAATGTTTGTTTTAGTAGCATGCAACTTATGGTGTATTAGAGAATTTTTTAGTTGAAGCTTGCTAAAATAGACCTTCATAAAGTGTGTTTATGTTAGCAAACCCACACCCACTACATATATATATATATATATATATATATATATATATATATATATATATATATATATATATATATATATATATATATATATATATATATATATATATATATATATATATATATATATATATATATATATATATATATATATATATATATATATATATATATATATATATTTGAGTTTAAGTATTTTAAATAACATTTTTTATTTGATGAAATAAATAAGTGTTTAAGTTTTAGAGTTTTAATATACATCTTCAATTGTTGTTTCTGTTCTGTTATAGTTTGATGTATATTTGAGTTTGAGTGTTGTAAATAATATTTTTGATTTGATGAAATAAATAAGTATTTGAGTTTGAGTGTTTTAATATGCATCTTCAATTGTTGTTTTTGTCTTGTTATAGTTTAAACAATACAGGATATAAAATGATAAGTTTTCAAAATGCAAAAAATTTATTATTTTAAAAAGCATATAACTTAACGACAATTTTTCATTATGATCGTTGTTGTATAGTTATAATATATAATACAAACACGGTTGTTATAGAATACCGTGATTATATATTTAAAATGCGCTGGAAATTGAATCAAGGACCTTTTATATATGACAACGGTTTGGTTATTAACCGTGACAATATATCGTACGCGTTCAGGTTTTCTATAACGGTCATAAGATTGTGATTGTAAGTATCGCATATACAACCACACCCTACGTAACAGCAGCAGGTCACACGTGATGTTATCCCTTTTCTAACCGTTTTTGTATATGTTTTCCGTAGTAGTGATTCACCATTTTGCATGGTACTATGATCATCCTTTGATTTTGTATAGATTGAAAATTTAGTAATGTCATATGCACTCTAAGCTATTATCTTAAGCTTACACATATATGACATTCATTTAATTGTCTCTGAAGTACTACTCTCTTTAGTACCCTTTTCATTAAACCAAGTCATGAAAGTTTTGTTATGCTCTGTCCATATCAATTTTCACTCATCCGAGGGAATTTTTCTTTGATAAGACTTGTGTGAATGGATAAGTAAGTTTGATCTTCATCAATATTATTCAATATATACAAATATGCTTGAAGAACTACATATGGGTCTAATATTTTAACATTTAAATGTTGAGTACCTCTACCTCCATATCTTTCACCGTGACAAGATTCAGGAATTTCTAAAGAGGTTGCTTTTGACAAATAGTTTTTACAAAACTCAATAGCTTCATTTGTGATGTACCGTTCAACGATCAAAGTTTCGGAAGGTGCCGATTATTTGTATATCCTTTAAAGGTCTTCTCATGTATCCCTATACTGAATACATCCATTCCATCTTAAATAAACTGGAGTACAAATTCTAATTTCCTTTGCTAAATGAACTATTAATTGAACCATAATGTCAAAAAAAATAATTGAGGAAAATACATCTCCAATTGACACAAGATAATTGCAGCCTCATCTTCCAGCTCATCTAAATTTCCAGGATTAGTGACTTTACTACAAATAACATTGAAGAATAAGCACAATTTGGTTATAGATGCCCTTACATTTTTTGTTAAAATGCCACGCATAACCACTCGTTAAAGTTATTAAATAAAGACATGAAAATCATGAGATTTTAAGCTAACTAATTTAAGATCTTTCATTGACACAAGTTTCTTCTCATTTGATGAGTACCCTTGCAGAATTTTGATACCCTGCAAACAATCGCAATTTTTTTTTCCTTTTTTAGACAGAGTGTGATATGATGGGGGCAAATATCTTTTATTTCATATTTCTTTTGAGGATAACTCTTGTCGTATACCTTTCACCACCATATCTAGAAGGAACTTACTATCTTTTGTCTTACCTTTAATTTTGAGAAGTGTTCCAATCAAACTGCCACAAATTTGTTTCTCTATATGCATCCCATCATGACAATATCTTACATAGAGACTAAACCAATAGGAAATATTAAATAACATTCAACTCTTTTTCCAAATATTTTTCTCCACAGACCTTTTTTGTTTCTTTCCAAAGATAAAATTAATGTGTTGTTGTCTTTTATAAACTTCCTTCCCAATTAAGGGCTTTAGAGCGATATCAAACTCCTGTTATCCATTCAAAAACTTCAGTAATATATAAAATGGATGATTAGGTCTTACAAAATTTTGACGCTAATGGTAAACCATATTTTTTCCATTTTGTAAGTTGTGGGAGCATGTATCATCTTCACATATATGATGTGTTATATGTTCCTTGATGTTGTACCCCGACAAATTCCTGAATGTAGGATGGTTATTAATTGTGCAAAATAACATGGATCAGATCTTAATGTTATCACCAATATACGAATCATCTACATCATTGCCTTCCTCCGACAAAAATCTTAAATCTTTAATAAATTTATTTAAATAAACTCTATGTCGTTCCTTGATTGTTTTGGATCCAAAATCGTCATTGATAACATCATATATCTGCGCTTCATGCACAACCAAAAAGATAGGTTGAAATTACGAAAAGAACAGTCCATAAAATATGGTTAGTACTCATATTACCAAATGGATTCATTCCATCGGTGGCGGGGCCAAGTCTAAGGTTCCTTGACTCAAGGAAAAAATATGAAAACAATGAATCAATTTTCTTCCATTGCAATGGATCAGCTACATGAAAATTTTTACCATCACATACTCTTTTATACGCTAATATATATATATATATATATATATATATATATATATATATATATATATATATATATATATATATATATATATATATATATATATATATATATATATATATATATATATATATATATATATATATATATATATATATATATATATATATATATATAATTTTTAAATTACTTGTTGTTTTTCTAAAAATAGAATATATGTGTGATTAGGGATTTGAACAATAAACAATAAATAGTACGAATATAGATTTTATGTAAAATAAAAAATAGAAAACAAATAGAAAACGTGAAAAATACTTTAAAATACTAGTGTTGTTGAAGATTTGTGGGATAATGAAAATGATATTGAGTGAGAATGGGATAATGAAAATGATATTGAGTGAGAATGATTTGAGGTGGATGAAGTGAAAATAAGTCACTACTACAAAATGCGCAAACAACAACGACAAATTTACAATAAATTCATATACACCGTTGTAATATATTAAAATTTTTGTGCCCAATGAGTAGCTGAATTTATAAACAGTAATTTAATGACGGTTGTCTTAAAACACCGTAATAATAAATGAGTAGAAGGGGAGCGTTGTAAAAATATTTATGCAGCTTTGTGAAAGTGTATCCCACGCATTTAAAATGGTCATATTTAACTTGAGGCAATCCCTCGCAAATTGATCATGCCAGACTGTCGCAGCAGACGAATCATTAAAGACACTGACCCGTTAGCGGTGATCAGACAAAGTTGTTGAAGATTGGCTAAAAATTGCCCCTCGCAAATGCATACTTGTAATGACGCCAGGTTAGTCCTCCCAACGCTCAATTTCAAGATTTAAAAATTTTATCTTTAATATTTGCGAGAAACATCCCAATGCCAATTTAATTTTTTAATTTATTTGTTTGTTTTGTGAGGGATATAACCCCAAACAACGTATTAATTAATTTCATGAGGGATTAACCCAGATTTTTCTTATAGTAAATCTTGAAATCTATTAACTGAATTTTAGTAAACTCTATTTAGCTCCACAGCTGTACTCTTTCAAAACTTTAGAGTGACCACTTCGATTACTCCTATTAATAAGTTTTTTGAGAAATAGTATGAATAGTTTGGTGTGGCCAATATTTGAATGTCTCAAAATCCGCATAAGATAGCAAGTAGACATAGGAAGGACAAAAACTCCGCTGCGTCTATATTTCATAGCCGTCGATTTTTAATTGAATTTATTCATACAATCTACTTTCCCAACTACCAAGTAAAGGTTCTTTATTGATCCTCCTTCCCTCTGCATTATATATAGTTCATACTTTCTTACTAATTCTCACATCGTTTACTACCACATTTTTCAATTGAATCAATTTCACTAGTTTGCTAGTGATATTCAACAATGGATTCGAAAAATGGAATATTTCTCATCCTAGGCCTCTTGGCTATGGTTCTTCTTGTCTCCTCAGAGGTATCAGCAAGGGACTTAACTAAGACTTCCTCTAATACCAAAAAGGGTAAGTTACATTATTTTCTTAGCCGAGGAACAAAATTCAGGTTTTCATGAGCATTTTAGAAGAATTTTTTTCATAAAAAAAAATTACGTACCTACTTAAAACTCACGTAATATATGATTTTATTGTTAGATATTTATTTTTTGTTAACGATGTTAACACCAGAATATTTCTTAACGTAAACTTAATATAAAACTACATGTTATTGTATTTACAGGGGTAAATGATGTCAAATATGATAATGGAGGATACGGTGATAGCAGTAGTGGTGGTTACAACAATGGTTATCCTGATAATGGTGGCGGTGGCTACCCAGGTAATGGTGGTGGTTACAATGGTGATCAGGGCAATGATTATTCGGATAATGGTGATGATTTCTCTGATAATGGTTGGGGTTATAATGGTGGTTACCCTAGAAATGGTGGGAGCTACAGAGGTGGACATTATCCTGGTTATATTGGTGGTCACCACGGTCATGGTGGTGTTTATTTTGGTGGATATGGCGGTGGTTACATGGGTCATGGTGGTGTTTATATGGGTGGTTATGGTGGTGGTTTCTTGGGTAATGATGCTCACCATGGTGAAGTTCTTGAAGGCAAAACTCGTAACTAATACTCATATGTTTGTTTATGATAAATTTGCTTAATAATAAATTTTAGGAATAAATAATTTTGTATTGTTGTTTTACTATGTATAAATACATTATTACTCTGTATATGTGATGATGAGTTTAATTTTGAATAAAATTGGTGAATGTGTTATCCTATGTATTATGTAAGAAATTAACTTTAATTAGTATTTTATATCCTTTCAAATTTATATTCATGTAATAAAGTAATCCAATAAAATCATGTATGAAAAGAAAACAAGCTCTCTTTAAAAATTTTAAATTTTTGTTTAAGTTTTTAAGAATAATTAGAGGTCTATCAAAACAAGAACACTAAGAAATCAAATAAATAAGTATATTACTATACTAAATAATCTTTATTAATTATTGAAGTATATATTATTAAAATGCAAAGTGAAAATAATATGGCATGAGATTGCTAAGAGTATTAAAAAGACACACGACAAATTATCTTGAAGAATAATTCTAATGGTTGTGGATCTGACTGTAAAGAAGATATAAATTTTTTTCCCGATGGGGAAATATGTATTCCATTACTCTTTTACACTTCAAAATCAAATTATGTTGTACTAAATGGAAGATATATCAATAGCAAATTCATTTCACGACTAGATCTAATAAAATGGAGAACTCAGGTTAAGTATGAATTTTTCTCGGGAATAGTTGACCAGTGTTACTTTAATGGCAGAAAATAACAGATAGAGAGGCAGAGAAGTAGAGAAAACTGCTGGTTAAAAGAAAGGAATATATTTTGATCAATAGAAGCATTATAATAAATAATAGAAAGGAAAACTGAAAACTATCCCACGTAACCAGGATTTTAGGGAATTGAATAATTAAACTAATTTGCTCCTAAAATATAGCAACCACTAATTGATTAAAAATTGAAACAATAAAATAAAATAGTAATAATAAATCTAGCAGTTACAAAAGCACATTTAATACTCCTCCTTGCTTTAGGAACTGCAAACTCCAATTAGTTGCCTTAGATATTCAAATTTGCTGATAGATAATGGCTTTGTAAACATGTTAGCCAATTGATCTTCAGACTTGCAGTAAATTAAGTTTACTTCTCCACTTTGTTGCATCTCTCTCAAAAAATAGAGCTTGATGTTGAAATGTTTAGTCTTTCCGTGACATACTGGATTGTTTGCAATAGCAATTGCAGCCTGGTTGTCAACAAAAATTTTTGTTTTGTTCTTCTGCTGCAAAGATAAATCACATAAAATCTTCTTCAACCATAAAGCTTGATTTACAGCAGCTGTTGCTGCTATAAATTCAGCCTCAGCGGTGGATTGTGCTACAGTCTCTTGCTTCTCTGTGCACCATGAGAATACTCCCGAGCCTAGGCTGAAACAGTGCCTGAAGTGTTCTTCATATCATCAATGGATCCAGCCCAATCACTATCAGAGAATCCATACAACTTGAATTCTTTACACGTATCGAACTTGACTCCATAATTAATAGTGCCTTTGATATATCTCAATATTCTTTTTGCTGCTTGCAAATGAATTTCACTTGGACAGTGCATAAAACGAGACAAGAGACTTACCGCAAATAGAATGTCCGGCCTTGTTGCAGTGAGATACATCAGACATCCAATCAAGCCTCTATAATATCCTTCATCAATTTTTTCAGCACCATCATCCTTGCTCAACTTCTCCTTTTGATTCATTGGTGTGCTAACAGATTTACATTCCTCCATTTTAAATTTTTTCAAAATTTCCTTTGCATATTTTCTTTGAGAAATTAACACTTCATTCTCACTTTGTTTGATCTCAATTCCAAGAAAATAGGCCATGAGACCAAGATCTGTCATTTCAAAAGCTTGCATCATTTCTTGCTTGAACTCGTCAACTAGCCTTGCGTCATCTCCTGTTACTAAAAGATCATCCACATAAAGGGAAACTATGAGAAAAAATTTTCCCTTATGTTTCACATAAAGAGTGGACTCGGATAAGCTTTTTACAAAGCCTATGCTCAATAAGTGATCATTAATCTTGTCGTACCAAGCCCTTGGCGCTTGCTTGAGGCCATAGAGAGCCTTTTTTAGAAGATAGACTTTATCTTCTTCACCTTGCTTCACGAATCCTTCTGGCTGGTCTACATATATTTCTTCATGTAGCTCTCCATTTAAAAAAGTTGATTTAACATCTAACTGGAATATTTTCCAGCCATTTTGCGCAGCAACTGCTAACACCAATCTAATAGTATCTAATCTGGACACAGGTGCAAAAGTGTCAGAATAATCAACACCAAAAATTTGCGCATACCCTTTAACTACAAGTCTGGCCTTGTGCTTGTTGATTGAGCAATCTGCATTAAGCTTTGTTCTGAAAACCCATTTAACTCCAATGACTTTTCTATTTTAAGGCCTGTCAACCAACTCCCATGTTTTGTTTTTTTGTATCATGGACATCTCCTCCTCCATTGCAGTTTTCCATTTCTGGTCCTTTTGCGCTTCCACGCAGCTAGCAGGATCACAAACTGCTACATTACATCTTTGATAGATGTCAGATAACAGCCTTTTGCCTCTAACTGGAGGGTCGTCTTCTAATTCATCCTGTAACAGCTTTGTTGTTTGCTGTCCCGAATGCTTATCATCAATGTTGCCAAATAGTTTAGTTGTTCTTTGTGAGTTTTCCCAATTCCATTGATGTTCTTCATTAAAGTGCACATCTCTGGTAACAATCATCTTTCCGGTTTGAGGATGATACACTTTGTAGGCCTTTTAAACTGAACTGTAACCCACAAAGATGCCCGGAGTTGCCTTCTTGTCAAGTTTGTCACGCTTAGCCTGTGGAACATGTGCAAAACAAACACAACCAAACACTTTAAGAAACGTTAGTGATGGCTTATACCCATACCAAGACTCAAATGGAGTTTTATCCTTCAAGGCTTTGGTTGGAAGCCGATTTTGGAGAAAAACTGTTGTGTTAGCCGCCTCTGTCCAAAATGTTTTAGGCAACTCCTTCTCATGTAACATGCAGCTAGCCATCTCCATCACCGATCTATTTCTCCTTTCACTAACCCCATTTTGCTGTGGAGTGTAGGGGGCTGTGAGTTGATGTTCAATACCATCTTCTTCACAAAATTGATTAAATTTTGTTGATGTATACTCTGTCCCATTGTCAGAACTTATACATTGAATCTTGCAGCCACTTTGAGTTTCCACCATTTTCTTGAACTTCATAAATACTCCAGCCACTTCATGCTTAAATTTCAAAAAAAATATCCAGCACATTCTTGTGAAGTCATCTATGAAAAGAATGAAGTATATACTACCTTGTAGTGATGGTGTTCTTTGGGGTCCCGCCACATCAGTGTGAACAAGCTGCAACTTTTGAGAAGCTCTCCAAGTTGATTTGGGGAATGATTTTCTTATTTGTTTACCAAATTGACAAGCATTACAATTTGGTAAATTATTAGAAAGTATTGGCAGACCTCTTGACATGCCTTTTCTTTGCATGTTCAACATTCTTTCAAGATGGCAATGGCCGAGTCTCTTGTGCCAGAGTTCTGTGGCGCTGACTTGAGTAAAATAAACTGCCTGCTCCTCCTCTGTTGGATCAAACGAGAAGCTTTTACCTCTCATTTTAACCCGTAAAACTTCCCAGCCAACAATGTCATAGATGAGACATTGTTGATTTTCAAAGGATACTTTAAATCCCTTTTTAATCAACTGACCTACACTTAGTAAGTTTTGGTCAATGTCAGGTACGTAGAGAACATCGAATATAATTTTGGTACCTGAACACGTTGAAATTGCAATGGTTCCTTTTCCTTTTGCAGTAATATAGCCACCATTCCCTATTCTGACCTTTGAGACATTTGTGGGCTTCAAATCCTTGAATAGAGTCTTGTCATATGTCATGTGGTTCGTACAACCACTATCAATTAACCAGCATTCAGAATTGCTCCTTGTCGAATAGCATGTTGCAACAAAAATATAGTCTTCTTCATCTTGCTCAACAACTTGGGCATTGGCTTCATGTTGCTGCTGAAATTTGCTCCTACAAATTACAGCTTCATGTCCAAGCTGATTGCATTTACTACACTTCGCGTCTGGTCGTTTCCAACATTTGTATGGTGGGTGACCCAATTTCCCGCAGTGCTGACAGGCTGGGTAGTTTTTCTTTTTAACCCTACCATTGTTTTGGTTGTTTGCACTATTACCGCTGCTTGATGGCTGGTCCTTCTTGACATGCTTCTTTCTACTGGTTTCCCCATAATGGTGTTTGGCTCGTAAAGCACCTTCGACTGCACCATCTTGTCTCATCAACCTTCGCTGCTCTTGGGACTGCATAGCACTTACAAGTTCTGCCAATGTGATCTTTGAAAGATCCTTAGTGTTTTCTAATGAAGTAATAGAAGCTTCAAATTTTTCAGGAGCAGTTACTAGTATTTTCTGAACTATTCTTGAATCAGAAAAATCAAAACCTAACAACTTCACCTTGTTAGCAATGTTAAGAAGTTTGTTTGCATACTCCTTAATTGTTTCAGACTCCTTCATCTTCTACATTTCAAATTCTCTAACCAGATTCATTGCTTGCATTCCCTTGATTCTTTCATCTCCTTCATATTCTTCATTGAGGAAATTCCAGATCTCAAATGCCGAATTAATCGTCATGATTCTGGTGAAAATGTCTTGTAAGACAGCAGCAAACAAAGTAGCTCTTGCCTTAGATTTTCTTCCTTTCTTCTCCTTGTGATTTTTTATCTGAGCCATAGTTGTATTGTTCGCTAAAGGAAGAACTTCATAGTCTTCCTCAAAGGCTTCCCAAAGGTCATTTGCTTCTAGGTAAGCCTCCATTCTTGCTTCCCAGATGTGATAATTATCACCGTCAAACACAGACGGTGCTAGTTTTGTGTAAGGAGTTTCAAAATCCATCTATTTGATGAATTGAAGGAAGGTTTATTATGGTGGGTTTTTTAATGGGTTCACTCACAGGTCCCTCTAAGAAGAAGGCTCTAGATACCAATT